CAAGAGGTATCATTCATTACACAACATTCATACGCTTTAACAGAGCTTGAGGCTTGAGTTTTTGGCGTTAATCCCTCCCACTTTTGGAATACGCCCTGCATTCAACTTCCACTTAGAGTCGTTGTGAATGTTTGAATGCGTATGTGGCTTACACAATAAGTTACGGTGGCCAGCCGCTGTACAAGTCTTTTATCCTCGCAGACGAGTCTTGCTTTCTATAGGAATGATTTTTCACAACAACCTCCACTTTTTCCAGCAGATGCCCTCAAAATAAAGAAATTCAAATGTTTAAATATTGTACAGCTGAAGCGAGACCCGTCGCCTATACGGCACAAGCCGATTATGAGAAAATTTCAGCCGCAGGATGGTTACAGTGAATTGCGTACAAAAGAGATATGTATGTATGTATGTAAGTATGTAAGCCCATAGAAGATATCGTTGCGGCAATTTTTGAAAAGCTCTTCGAGCTGATTATCTCATTAGGAGGTGTGGGGCAGAACCTACAGCAGGGTATGGCACCCTCTACCCGGACGGCATGAAGCGTTCGTTGGACCCAATCGCGATAAAAGGGGAGACCGGCTTTCTGAAGATGGGATACGGTAACTACCCCGGAACCACTGCCGCTTGGCATGGAAATTTGGAAGGGTCCAACTTCCTATACTCAGAATCAGAGCCCAGAGTTGAGGAGTACAAGAGACGAAGCAAAAAATCGAATCTGCAACCATAAGAAATTTCAATAGGTTTCGTTCATTGTACAACATTAAAAGTGCCCCAACACTGAAGGATAGAGGATCAAGTCTTTTAGCGTTGATCAATCCCGTTTTTGGAATACGCCCTGCATTCAACCTCCATTCAGAATCGTAGTGGATGTTTGAATGTGTATGTGGCCTATAAAATAGTTGGGGTGGCTGACCGCTGTACAAGCCAGTGCTTTTATTCTCCCAGACGAATCTCGTACCAATTACCCGAACCCGGAAAGATGGAATGCTTGGTTGCTCTGGGCGAGTCTGGTATTCGATTTTCAGACCACGCGTGTGTGACAGTGCACCTCTTGCCTTTTCCCAACCTTCGCCCTCCTACTACTCTATATCACTAAAACGAACAGCTACCCGACTAGCTAGGAGAGATTTGTAGAGTGTATGCTAGCTTTGGTATAGGCCAGCTGGCAGACTTTTTTTCCAGTTCTAGAGGGCTACTCACTTTGTTTCAGCCATACTACGGTCGCCACGGCTGTGAGAGTTTCAATTTGTTCTGTCAGCCAGCTTACCCATACCAAGAGAATTGCTGACTGATTGTAAACGACAAAAAGGGCGAACAGGGTCAGCCGACATTCAGAGAGTTTTTCGCTTTCGTACGGAACATTGTCATTATCATTGAGGAGAAAGAGAGAGCGAGGGGCAATAGGGAATGAACGAATTAGTAGCCAGCCATTCATCACGCATACACATAAGCAGTGACACTCTTTGGCATCACGCCTAGTTTTTTTTTATTATTATTACAAAAGACCGGTTGTGGGTTCATGCACTTAATTGTCGCCCATTTTCAGAAGAACTAACTCGCAGTAATGTACTTCGATATGCCTTTTCTTGAGTTGTCCTTTTGTCACTTTATTGATTGGTCAGAATTCATTGGATTCTCCACATTACTACCATGCTCACTTCAGATCCCTTTGCTTTTTCTATGTGAGCCAGTAAACTTCTGATTCGAACCCTTTTTCACATTCACCTTAAGAAAGGATCAATAACCTCCTTCATCACTGAATTCTCTACAATTCCAGCCACGTTCTGAACCAAGGGTGAAGCAGATAAAAATCAACGAGGGGCAGTGAAATGAAAGGGGAAGAACTAGGACCATGAGGGCTTCATTTTCATTCCGAGTAGGCCACTCCTTCACGTTCCGATTGGGATCGTAGCAGCCTTTGAATGTCTATGCCGCACACTCTCCTCTAAACTTGGAGGTAGGGTTTTGAAAGTTGTCATTACACGAATAGGGCTCAGACGAATCTTTATCGAAGCCCCAGACGGGAGAAGGCTTGGGTGAATAGAGCCAGATTGCACCGGAGCCTGAGAGCAGAGCTTCGCACATGACAACGGCGCGACTTACTACCTCCTCAGAACGGGCCCAAGGGTGGTTGAAGAGGTGGACGTGGGGAGAGGGAGATAGAAAATAGGCTTCTCTGATCATCACCTGTATCACCTGTCGTCCCGTTGATCATCGATTTCGTCGAGCGGGCGCCAGTAACGTCTCCATTCGTCCCTGTCACGAGCCAGAGTGGTCCAGTGTCGCTTCAGGGACACGAGGTTCAACATTCCTTTCGTTCAGAGCTTTCGTGAAGAAGTCTGACCATCTCGTTGGCGGCCTTCCTGGAGTTCGTTTGATGTCCCGAGGGATCCAGTCAGTAACCGCCCTGGTCCAACGGTCATCACTATATCGCATAACGTGTCCGGCCCACCTGATCTTCGATTTCTTGGCGTAATCGACGGCATCCCTGATCTTCGTTCGGTGACGGAGCTCGGGACTCCGGATTCTCTTCTGCACTTGCGTGTATAGGGAAATTCCGAGCATCGTCCGTTCCAAAGCGCGTTGAGTAACGCTGACAGCATGCTCATCCTGCTTTCGTAGAGTCCAGGTCTCCGAGGCGTATGTCAAAGCAGGAAGGACAGCAGTGTCGAAAAGGTGAGCGCGGAGCCGAAAGTTCTTTGTCTTCT